GCAGAAGAGATAGCAACAGGGCAGTTTCAGATTGAAAATAAAGAAGTGCAATTCTGAACGAGCTGCACTCATTTGCAGTAGAGGGAAGGAAATGAGTAATTAAAAATTAGCTATCTATTATATTGTTAAGACACCTACTAAATTTTCCAATCAAACCTTTTTTGAGTTGATAACTATGAAAAATGAGATCTGTAGTGTCACTACTTGCTCATAGGTAGATAACTGTTAGCGTTGAAACCGTTCACGTGTGGTTGAGAGAGGCTGAAGAATAATTTATTGCACATTAAGTCTTAGAATGTTATTTAGAGCGCAATTCTCGGCATTAATTTGTTCGGAATCGTTCATAGCGCATATCGATCTAGATCAGTGGTTCCCCAAGTGGGCGATATCGCCCCCTTAGGGGCGGTGGAAAGATTTTGGGGGGCGATAAGGAAGAAGAGAGCGATATGGGGGCGGCTGTCCGAAGCCAATGTCAGAAGTTCGAACGTTTGTTAGACGATTTGTACACAACACGTGCAGCACATGACTCCCAGCGATGGTTTTTTTCTGTTTTTTTTTTTAAACCTAACTCTCCTCGGTTTACGTCTCGGACAAATTAACGGCCGGACTCGAGGCCGGTCTTGGCCAATTTTCAAATTCAATGATCAAGGAATATGTCTCAAACTAATGAACTTAACTCGATGAAACTTGGTACACGTATTCATTAGGACCTAACGGTAATGTTTTGCTCGTGAAAATTGTTTGAATTTTGCCATCGTTCGTTTTTGCCATAGTTACATGCCAATACGGGCCGAAATTCACAGTGATCATGTAATTTCTTCCAAACTACTGAACAGATTCGAACGAAATTTTGAATTTACAGTCCTAACTAAAAATTGTTCGATTGTGCCTTCGTTCGCGATTTTTTTTTTTTATTTCACTTTCATTCGAGATTTAAGTAGTAATTCGTGCTTAAATTCGCAGTAATCAAGAAATTTTTTCCAAACTACTGAACAGATTTGAACGAAACTCAGTATTTAAATACCTAACCTCACCAACGGTGATGTTTACATTTTTTTCTTTTTGCCTTCGTTTGCGAGTTATACGGCTATACGTATACTGATTCTGATTCATAGAAGCCATCGATCGACCGGTAGAAAAGCAGGTCGTTCCTCCTACATCTGTATAACTCGCGAACGAAAGCAAAATAGAAAAATTGTCACGAGCTAAACATCACTATTGAGAGGTTATGTAATTTTATACAAAGTTTCGTTGAAATCTATTCTGTAGTTTAGAAGAAATTTCTTGATCACTGCGAATTTATGCGACAAATTACCCGGCGATACGGGCCGAATAGAAGGAAGTGTGAAATCAAGAATGACGGTGAAATGAAAAAAAAACTCGCAAACGAAGGTAAAATAGAAAAAAAATTATAAGCTAAAAAATCACCGCTTGGTAGTTAGGAATGTATATTCAAAATTTCGTTCAAATCTGTTCAATAGTTTGGAAGAAATTCTTTGATCAGTGCGAATTTGGCCTGTTTCGCAATATACGCGCAACTCACGAATGAAGGTGAATTTTAAAAAAAATTACGAGCTAAACATCACCGTTAGGTTCTGATGAATGCGTGTTCCAAGTTTTATAGAGCTGCGTTCATTTGTTTGGGATATATTTTCTTGATAATTGAATTTGGAGACTGGACGTGAGACCGGCCACGAGTCCGGCCGTAAATTCGCCCGCGACGTCCTTGGCTTCTACTGCTGAAACAGTTGAAACAGCTGAAAAACATATTGGTTCACTAAATGGGGATCTACTTGTGAAATACACATTCGCGTTTAACCTTTATCTTTTAAAATTTCGGCGTGTTAATTTTCAAGAAAGTGGCGTATGTCTGTGGGGGGCGCTAGAAATTCACTAGGAGGCCAAAGGGGGCGCCAGCCTGAAAAAGTTTGGGAACCACTGATCTACATAGATAATCTCGATATTACATCATCGCACTAAATTTAATACCGATCATTCTGGTGTGTCTACGAAGATAACTAGTCATGCGATAGAATCGTTTAGAGTACTTGGCCACATTAGTGAAGATGTTACCAAAATAATAGAAAATTTTCAAATACGCACTGTATTTCTTGTCGCGACCCGTGTTCAATCGTCTGGCGTTTGGCAAATTACTGTATTAATTCATGAGTTCCTACGACGGGAGCGCAGCCGTGCACCACCAATTTTGTGCATCAATAAGCCCTGAATCGAACGCCTTGGATCTTTACGGACATCCACCAATCAGCCGTGAACCACTCGGCTTTGTCCTCCACTGGCCTCGCATAGAACCCGCCGTGCACCACGAGGCCGCGGATCGAATCTGACTTCCGGGCATCGTTAAATTACGTAATTTTACGTTCACCGCATCTGAAGTTAGGTTTCAGATAGCATAGTTCTGTTCCAAAATTTATCGTCCTTCGACAAGTGGCCGTTCGACCGAGGGCTGGTTCGACCGGGAGCGCAGCCGTGGGTAACAAAATTGACTCGTAAACAGGCCCTGGGCCTAACGCCAACCATCAGCATGCAATATCTACACATAGCCTCAGACCAATGAGCTGTGGGTAACTCCGGCTAACAGTAAATCCGCTTTGCACAACACAGCCACTGCTCCACAGCGCCGCAGCGCAACTGGCCGGAGCGCAACAGGCCCAGATTATCTTCTTGAACGCCAGACAAGCCTAGCACAGCTGAGTTAATTTCCTCACGTACAAATCCAGATATACAAAGCAACTACGTGGTGACTTGGAAACTACGAAATTTTTTACTAGAATGTATCTTTCATTCGGATTTGCATAGGCAAAACGTCTCTAAAAGATTTTGCCCTACTCTGACTCTAAACTGAAAATCAAGACTGCCACAAAATGTTCTAAGTCCTTTATTGTCTGTAAATGTCTAGTCGGCTGTGGACCAACTTATGAAAACTGATCTAAAAAGTCCAGGAGTTCTTTTCAGTAAGGGCATTTGGACATCTAGGAACATTGATCCATACCTATCATTGTCTGTTCGTTACATTAAAAAGGAGTGGATCCTGAGTAAATTCGTTGTTTTTTGTCAGTCCATTCGGCGATCGCCATATTGCCGACAACATTACCAAAAAGCTGGACATGGAATTGAAACGGTATAATTTTTTGCTTACATGAATAAGTTCAACGAGTTCAACAGTTGTGCTGCTATTCCTTACGTCGCTATTTTGCAAGTTCATAATATACATAAACAAGTACGAAGGAAATGCATTCATTTTAGTGTTTTTATGAGATATGAATAATCATAATGACCTATCTAGCCATTCGAGTTCGCCGAAATTTTGTATTAATTTTAAGGGTAGCCGACCTCTCACCAGGAACAGTTCAAGTTGTCTCTCATGATAATGGTGCTGGTGTCAAAGCTGCAACTTCTAAGTGCATCTTTATTGACGTGTCTTTGCTTTGTGTGGACTATACCCTGAATTTGGCCATCAAGGACACTGTCGAAGCCACCATAACAGTGAACCATGTGCTCACTCGTGCTCAAAAACTAGCAGAAAGAACGCACAAGTCATTTATCAAGTGACAGGATCAAGGCTGTAAGAACACTTATGGACAGGAACCATCGTCTTGCCATGGCGTCCAGTGTTAGAGTTCGTATACGAAAAGATCATCGCTGTAAAGATCACCCGCTGTAATTCTACATACATTTGTGTTCAGTGTCTTTGGAATGAAAAAAAAACACTTTCTGCAATCAAAGCAAGGCAGGCATTGACTCAGCAGATGTAGCATCTCTTGCGCCCTCCGAATTGGATTTTAAAGTGCAAGGCAACTTCGTGCGGTCGTTGGAAACGATCGGGACGACAGACAAGCTCCTTCGCATCGTGTCTTGCATGTCAGTGGCCAGCTACTGGAAGGAACTACAAGCAATATAGCCCAACAGTCTCCACTCTCCACCTCCCGAAGACACGAGCTACTCACTAACGCTGGCGGACTTGACCATAGGTAACTATAATAAGCGTGCAGATTATTTATTGGTGGAAGGGGTTTTGCAAAGTCGAGAATACAAAGTGGTTATAAAACTGAGGGAGCCAGACGGGCTTTCTTATCTTATCGAGGGCTTGATGTTTTTCTTTGTTTCCTTTCCTTTGATCTCTTAATTTATAATAACCCAGGATGAATATCTCGTAAATGGCGGATGCAATTTCTGAATAAATTGATCCCTCCCGAGTAAAAGGTAAATTTCTAGTGTACACTTTAAACTGATTCGGGTTTAAACTTTGAATTGACCTAATCACAGAGAAGACAATGACACAATAGCCGTAGGATGTTCTTGAATTACCAGTGCTTTTTGACATACCTTTGACATCGTCCTATTAAGTATTATTTAATAAAGCTCGCTTCTCATCGTGTTCTTCACGTCACTTGCAGAATATATCAAGAAGTATACCAGTGACTGCAGCGGAGGTTCAGCCATCGGGACCTGTTCGCCTGCCTCTTCTGCCAGTAGCTCGAGTTGAACGATTGCACGCTCTGGACCCATTCATTTTGACCATATAGCGCATTGTCAACCATATTGAGATGATCGCTCGACTACAATCCATGACGTCACAGCACACAACCATTTAATGGCAACTACAGTAATTCCTCGCTATACCGCACTTCACCTACCGCGGCTTCTCTTCATCGTAGTTTCCCCAGGAATAATAATGAATGAGCTTCAGCCACCGGGACTTTTTCGCCTGCCTCTTCTGCCATCTCGTCCCTATTGAAGTGACGCTAGTTGTTCTTAGAAACACTTATCCATGGTTGAACTAATAAACCACGCACTCATCAGTGTGACAGTCCATGAAAATTGTTAGTTAGGACAAATTTATCGAGTTGCCGGTCAAGCATTGCAACATTGAGCAAGAAGAGTTATGCATGTGCACAAAATTGATTAATATACCAATTTTTAAACGGTTTTAATTCATCAAAGAAACTAAGGGATTGGATTTCTTTGTATTGGGTGTTTCAATAAATTATTAAATTGGTGAGCTGGAAATGCGACAACCACACCCCAGAATTTGGAATGTTTCTCGCAGGTTCAGCAAGTCCCAGCTGTATAGACTCGTACACAGATGGGTCATCTGAGGTAGAGCATGTAAGGCTTTAGTCAGGCTAGGGCGGTTAACGTACAGGCTCTTCAGGCGCCGTCCCTCGTGTCGTTGCAGGAATCCTGCGTACACAAGAGATCTGCGCTCAACTTAAGGTTTAACTTTATTTTGACGTTCTTTACCTCAACACGAGAAACTGGAATACCAGCTAAGTGCCAAGACACCGCCAGGAATATCTTTAGATAGGAATTCAGTCTACTAATATATTATAAATTTATCGAATTTATTAATTAAATCCATTTTGATCCGCTATCACCGCAAAAATTTAGAAATTATTGAATGACTTATTCAGCTGTACTTGCGACAAGCTGACGTATATGATGGAATTCAAACTATCCATTTTGAAGAGTTTCAAAGGGAAACTTGATTGAATAAAAATGAAAACATGATTACAGTCGGAAAGCGTACTTATAACCGAGAATTATATAAAAAAAGGAACAATAAGCAAAAATATTTGAAAATAAGCAATGGATCACATCGCGTATTGAGAATATTAATAAATGATTGAAACCAAAATATACATTTATCACGAAACATGAACTGGGAGCGATTGAATACGATGATTCTAGGAACAAATGCCTTAGAAACAAACTAAAAGCATCAAGTTGATCAAACATAAATTCCAATATGCAGCAGAATGCTTGACAATAGAAAAAGCGTGTTTTGATCATTTGAAACATGTGAACGTATCCCCCGAAATTCTCAGTTAAAAAAAATAATTCAGGCTGATTCGCGATCCCGTTATGTTGATACCACACATTAAACAATTTATTAACACTTAAAGATTTCTAAAAAACGAAATTTCAGCTGCAAGTTTCACTTTCATAGAGTAAAATCCTGCTAGTAGGCATGTATGAAATATAGTTTTCCCGCGAGAAGTTCTCACTTAATATGATATATTAAGCTTCAATTGAATTTATAAATTTAACAAAAAAATTTCAATTATAACTAGAAGTAGTAGATGGAAAACCGATCTTTATGTAAAGGTATCGTTAGAAAACTTATTTTCAAATGCCATATTGATAGGAACCAAATAATTCTGCTCTCACTTCATCCCATTACGCTTGAAGAGGCATTCCCAGATCCTCTTTGTGCGAATAGAGTTCGTGTCTTCAACACGGCAACAATGAATAAATGAATGAAGTTTTTAATAATTATAATTACCATTCGCGCTCAAATTATGTAGTCCATCTAGTATCTATTTCATAAATCTATTAGAAATGAAGTCCGTTAATACATTGAAGGAATGACATACGCCTTCCTCTGAAAATCCAGACCAGGGATGTTTCTTCACCGCACATGTCATACCAAAACATTAATATGAAACAAAGTCAAATTTATGTTCGCCTTCTTTCTGATGACCTTTCCACACGTTCGGATTGCTTCACATTGTATTGAAAATTTGAGCGAGTTAATCATGGCTGGCATTCTCCGTTCACGCGGTGTGGTGTACAGCAGCAAAATTAATTAAGTATGTCACTATGGTTCGCAGCAGAAATGCAAATTCATGTTCTGTTAAATACTGTAACGTTCCTACTTAAGATTCAGATTTCCCAGCGGTTGACAGAAAACTTTACAAAGATGGAATGCTGAAATGTAAGGCGCAACCAGAGAAATATGCATCCAGCTGTACTTCTTCGGCTTCCTCGATTGAATGATAATTATGATTATTCATTCTCAGTGTGCCAATGCTCGTGTACTGGCACAAATACTTCGCAACTTGCACCGTGACGTCTGCTGATAAGCCGCTGCAATCGTGGATCCAAAGTTCGTGATTCCTGAGGCAAGAAATGTTGTCAAGATTTGAAAAAATTGATGTAGAACTAACAGTTGAATGTGCATCAATAAAAACACACATACAGCTGGTTTAAACGATTTTTTTGTTATTTGCTAAGGTGATATCACATGTATGACAAAATTAGATCAATATTCACTGCAGTGAGCGACAGAGCGCGCATTTTCTCGTCCGCCCGTGACGTGAAGTCACGGACGGACATGACGAGCACAATAACGAATTTTTTTCCATAAATGAGAAAATGCGCCGCTAAACAAGGGCCAATTTGTGCAAAATCGTTCATCACAAAATTGTACAAAAAAATCAGACGTAAAAAACGTTTCAAATAATTTGCACCGAAATGATTTTTTCTTTAACATTTCTTACTTGGCTCAGAGCAAAAGAAGAACTATCATACTGAAATAATAAATTATTTTTCCGTAAACCAGTTGGTATGAAGTGCAAAGACTTACTGCTTACGGTACATTTTTATACTTAATTTCGACGCACATTTTATCGACAGGATTAGCTGCGAGTACAGAGCAAAATATATTTCGGAATATAATATATAAAGAGTGAAAAATATAGGAATATAGTAGAAATTACAACTAGAAGCATGAAATTGTTATCATGCAGCTTCAGAACACATTGCTTCACCAAACATAAGAGTAACTCACCGCTTGCCTTTAGCAGTTCCTGGGAGCAAACGTGTAACCACGCCGCTGCATCTCTTCCAGTCTCCATCTTCCAGTTTCACCAAGTGAAGTCGGTACAGCATGTTAGTCTTCGGCTTCAGGCACCCCCAGATATCCTTCGCCTTGATGCTTTTGTTGATGGCAATATCTGCATGGGCATCATTTAAAGGGATCAGTTCAAAAGGCCAGTTCTTATATCTCTATGAACAAGTCACAAAAAATACTAGAATCTGCGACAGGGCACGGGCTTAATTCTTCGACGCCGATTCATCTATGCAATGTTATGAAAATTTTCCTCAAATGTAGGTTGAATGTCGTACATTTGAATTTTGAAAGTTTTGATAGAAATGTGAAAAATTATTTTATCATTATATATCTCGTAATTTTACTTCAATTCGAATGTAAATGGCACGCAAATGAAAACAATAGCGAGATAGAAAAGTCTCACATACATGCCCCGATTCTTTAAAAAGTATTTGACATTTATCCGCTGTGCCAAAGACTGCGAATAAGTTGGTAATTTAGGAAATTTGACGGATAAGAATCGTTTCTCATTCATATTTCATGGATCGAATTATGTGCATTCTTTTGGAGGTGGGAAGGCAAATGGATACATTTTTTCATGTAGTTATGCTTTCCATTGGTCCTAGAATATCATGTTTTCAAATTTTCCATGTACCATCTGTACATTGAAGAGGCCCAACCGAATCTAAAAGTGGAATACTTGCAAGCAATGAGGGTTGTGAATAATCATTCAATTTTAAAATCTCAGTGAAGCAGAACCTTGAAAACATTTTAAAACATTCATATTGAACACAATTAAGAACGGACCTGCTATGAACAGCTTTCTGCACACCGGAACCGAAGTTCCATCGACCGATGAATGTTCGCCTGGAACAGCAGGCAAATTACTTTCAATTATTACAACCTGTGAGGAGTTCATTGGTTCTCTATTGGGTTCGTCATTGGTTATAACATATCAGGCTGCTTTCAAGAAGTCGACCTCAAACACGGTAGTTTAAGTTGCCAGTCAGTTCGGCTATAGCCAGCGTTCATTCATGCATTGACGAGCGTTCAGTCACTCTGCCAATCAAAATTCTCATTTTGAGACCAGCATTTAGACGAGAGCTAATTCAGCATCGACTTCAGTCACCGTTGAAGCTTCCTGTGTGCTATTTCACTGTCTCTACGTTACATACACTAAATAAATTAATCAAATACATAAATCTTTTAAATTGCTTGAATCAAATGCCAAATCTTTTAGCGAACATAGTATCTTGAACCTACTGTGGAGCCTGATACAGTGTTTATGACCATTTAGTCAAACCTCCCAATATCATTCAACATTTTTTACGTAGTAAGGGAGAAGTTATTTAACTGGAACCCTGCTTCCGCATCCTCCTCATTCAGCTGTGCGAGCTAATGCTTAGCAGTGCAATTTCCCGGTGTCGGGTGTCCGATAGTGATTTTAGAGTTCTAGCTTCCACGACATGTGTGTGTGACCTACGAATTTCAGAATTCTTTCCTGTAAATAGTTAAGCACAGGGCCAAGAGTGGCCCAGTGGTTAAAGTTCAGAGTACCAAGGTTGGCGCAGAGAGGCGCGGGTCCGATCCCAGCTCTGTGCGCCAGTTTCTGGTCAGAATCGGCAAGGAGGCCGGGCGGTTAAGCTCAGCAGAATTGTAGCAGTGAGTTGCGAGTTTGAGCCTGCATCAAGCTGTGAATATTCTGCGATGTTAAGAATCGGCGACAGGCCTACGGCCTAATAAACGCTGAAACCGCTATTATTATTAAAAACCAAGTTTAAATGTCGCCTTCAGCTTCATTGTAATTGTAGATAGATAGGCACCTCGTTTTCTTAATTCTATTCCGCTCGTCTTATAGGATTTTGAAGTGACGACGGAGCTGATGTACGAAATATTTTCTCAGAAAAAGAAATAGTATATTTTCTGACTATTTTCTTTGCCTTTAAATTCTTAGTAGAACATTTTTTTCAATCTCGAGTACTCACCTACCGCTCCGTTAACCGATTTCATAAACTTGAGGATTGTCACCTTCATGGAAGCCAAAATTTCCATCATTATGGTTGCAACAATCATCATTCATTTATATTCTTCAGTTACATATGAAAAGGAACTGTACCCAGCAAATTTTGAGGGCAGGATTAACGTCAGTTATCTATAATCATTAATTTTCTGTATTGCATTCATTGGGAGTCTGCAGATCAACATAATTCAGGACCGATTTTTCTAGTCTCAATACCAATAATCGTCTCGTGATCTTGATATATACTCTGGAATATAATCATTTGGATTCTAGCTGCATTTTATAACTAAGAAATACAATGCCGCGAGAAGCAAATCACATGACGCTTAAACATGAATTAATACCAATTGGTTCTGTCTTTGGATTTCAGATTATGATAGACAATTGGAATTCCTCACCAACTTAAAATTTCAATTCAATTAATTTATTGCACCAATCACTACATATATTACTGAAATGCGAAATGATTACATTCAAGATTTAAGGTGATAAAAGTGTGTGGAAATTTTTTGGTCCTCAAAATGAAAATAAAAACAAAAGAATTATTACATTGTTGCTGGAAGGCATAATAACACTTTTTCACTCAAACCATCTGAATAAATACATAAATTCAAGTGCTTAATGAAATTATTCTTGCCCAATATCATTTCAAAACAGATCTAAAAACCAAATTCCAGGCAAGTCTAATTTAGACTCAATATGCTGCCAAGATATATCAGCCAGTAACCCAACATTAAACAAAGTTTCACTCTGTAATACTGTTTGGTGTGTGGGGCTCTTCATGGCATTTTGTTGAGATCTAATTGATTCTGTTACTTCCTATAGCTTTATTTATTGTTGAATTAATCCTTATCATTATTCAGTTAGAAACAAAAATCGTTCAGATAAGCTACCCTTATAAATATCCATTGACTTTATGGTTAGGTGGCTCTTACTTAACCTTCAATAGTATAAGCTTGTATTTTTCAGTTAGAATTTAATTTCAACATTTTGGCTGTTAACTATTTATTGAAGTTTTAGCACAATAGATTATAATTACAGCATGCCATAAAAGGATTCTAATGTTACTGCGGTAAAATTTATTTGTACATTTATATTTTTCAGCAGCCTGTTGAGCTTTTGAGCTATTGCCTGCCTGTGCTTCTCACTCCCAAACTCAAAATCTGCTCCCTAGAAATTCCATTCAATTTCACTAAAACTTACAGTAAATTATCTAAACAAAAATTATCATTATTTATTTGTATTCTAGGTATGTCACATGTCTACGAATACAAATAAACATAATTTACACATTTTACATCTTTTATTCACATCATTATTAGACCAATTCAGCAGTTGAGAAAGCAAAAATATAGAACAAACAATATAGGTACCTATACCAACAGAATCCTGTTCTATCAGTTATGTAAATTGAATTTGTTTAGGTGTACGACTGCAAATTTAAGGAAATATGAACATTTTAAATAACACTTCTGATTGAATAACATGATGGTCTATAGAATTGCAGTTTTAAATAGTATAAATCAATGATTTTTTATTGAATTTAGTTGCATAGTCCCGGAAACTGATAACTATGCATTTAAATATAGATGCTATTCACTCTGCCATTGAACCTACCGGGCTTAATGTTCCCAGCACCGCAGTTGTCATTCAAGATCTTGTTGACATCAGCCACGTCAGCTCCAGACTGGAGATGCAGCCCAAGCTTCAGCAGTCCAACAACACCGAACTTGGCCCACGCGGCGTGTGTAAGGTGACCGTAGAACGATGCTAGGTGCGCCCTGTGAGAAATTTGAGTTATTTTGATTTAATGTACAGGGCATTTCATTAGGTTGCATCAATAGCAAGAGATGTTGAAAAAGTTATGGCATTCATCTGCCAGCCATTTTACTTCACTTAAGGACTGAGTCATCAGATGCACAATATAAACAATATCTGATAGAATTTAATTTGGAAATAAACTGGTTTTACACATACCCAAAGTTTTTGCACAAAAAATGTTTCAGTCTGAGGGAATCATTTGCACTGCTGCTGTTGCCATTGAAAAAAGAATCCAAGAGCCGGAGGTGTATAGCAGTGCGACCATTCATCAAGTATAAGAGAAGATCTTGCAGGCTAATGATGGGGTCTTCCACAGAGGATACCACTGTAACTGTGGCCTTTGCACCTGCTGGAATAGTTGGCTGTGCTCGCACAATTTTCTTGCTCATTCTTTCTCCTTTAATGACAACATTTTCTGTCAATGTCTGGAGTTCTTCCGGCAGCAGGCGTCGCTTCTCAGCTTCCAGATCTTTATATAATGACTATAAAATATTTAAAACCATTATTAGTCATGAAGAACAACAGTAAAACTCTACTTCAAAAAAACCAATTGGCTTCAAATGCTGGATGTCAGGCAAGAGCCTAAGATACAATGGCATGTGAGAAATGTTCATCCAAGGACAAGGGCTACATGCTAGACAAACAAAAAATCTCTTGGGCTATTTTTAGTAGTGTTCTCGAAATTGTAAGGAATCAAAACAAAAGTATCACATAGTTTTCATTGATTTTTGTTGTTATTTACTCAGCAGTGCAGGACCCCGCACTTGAATTATATCCACAAGAAAAATTAAGCACAAGATCATAAAACAACTTAAACATAGAGTGTCATGTGAATAAAAAAAATAAAAAGAGTACAAATTTGTGATATAAATTCAAGCTAACTTCTCAACGTGCAAATTTTGAAGCTTTTATGATCTATTTGACAGCTCTCATCCTATTGTAGCTGAACTTTAAAATGACACCAAATCCAATTTAATGATTTGAATCAAGAAACATAAATGCTAACAAGAGTACCTACAGGTTTTTTACTAAAATGTCAATAAATTAATAATTACCTGAAGTTCTCCACCAAGGTCCTCAAATTTCATCAATATCAATTGCCATTCTGATGAAAGACTTGCTTTTCCCACATCACAGCTTGACATTATTTTCAAGAAGGCATCAAATTTTGCTTTCAATCCTGCCTCACTCGTGTTTTCTACATGCTCCATACAAGCTGACAAATTCTTTTCTTGAGCCAGGAGGTGTTTTTTCCATGACAATAGCTTAGTCTCAATCTCTTTCATTGACTCAATCAATTCAAGTCCTTCATTGCATACGCTGACTGAATTTTTCAGGCCTTCTTTAAACTTCTTCCCCAGGTTTCCATTAAAGGATTTCTTTATTTGTTTCATGTCAATTTCTTGACCAACAACATTTTCAAAGGCAACCTGTCCATGAGCATAATGCATCTCAGAAATGCACTTCTTGCAGGTGGCAACTTGACACTTGCAGCACCAGTGTTCTATGGTGCATGAGTGCAACAAGCACATGTTATAGTCGGATTTATAGTCAGTATCATCACCAGAAGATTTAGGTGCCGTTTTTGCACCAGGTATTAGCATGTAGGAAATTGGTAGCTCATTTGATTCGCCCCGCCATTCTTCTCTGCATGATGGGCAAAGTTTTTTGCCCGCAGCCTCGATGTCCTTAAGGCAGGCTAGGCAATAAGTATGACCACACTGCAAGACTAGAGGCTTGTGATTGGTACTATTGAATGTGTTCAGACACACGTTGCAGAGAGCTTGTACATTCATTCTGCCAAGCCCTTCTGAAAAAAATGTTTCTCAAATTAAAAAAAGAGGAGTGCAAAGTGGAGGGAGTTAATTCCAATCCACATCCAATTTACTATCCCATACTTCAATTTAATAGTTATCAACCAGGCAAACAATGTTGAAATAATGTTTAATCACTGTTGATTCAACTTACATTGAATTCAATATCATTTGTCAGGTGGGTATTATCTATTAGAATCAGGCAGCAACACTTCTCAAGTTTGTAACATAAGAAACAAATAAAAAATTTTCCTGCACAACAATATTAATTTTAAAAGATGAATACCATCATACATGATCATTTCAATTCTAGAGCAATCAAATTCTGTACAGAACCAGTTGTGAGAAATATTTTGGAATAATTTGGGAAATGATCTTATGTGCATTTTAGAAGAGCAGTAGTTAAAATGAGAAAGGGCTGAACCCAAATTTATTGTTTAAATTATTTAGTTGTTTGCTTTATAGATGAACCATAAATTTTAGAGCAATAAAAAGGCTTAAAAGTTTTACATTATTATCTACAAAAACATTTTGGAGGCCTGATTTATTGAGGATTCTGCAAATTAAAAATAATGGTAGAATGAATTAGATGATTTAAGAGGAATTAAAACCTACCATGTCAAGAAAGATCTAGGTGGGATTAAATATTCCTTGTGAACATGTTAAAATCTGGGACATATATAAAATCAAGACATAGGTAATTTATTTATTAATTATTTATTTATTTTATTAGTTTAATTATTAATAGCTATTAATTAATTATTAGGACAAGATCTGACTCATGTCAGGTATACAGGCTACCAGACTCAGACCCATTGACCTGCCAGTGCACTCATAGAAATAAGTGGCTCATATCCTCCTAATAATTACTGTTAATTAATATAATTACTAATAATTAATTACCTACTACACTACAATTAATTACTACTAATAATTAATCACTACATTCTGCACATAGCATAGCAAATACGCTCCTTTGACAGACCAAACAACAAAACTGAGTCAGGTTGACCCATTTGAATAATGCATTGCTTATTTCTCCCATATACAGGATATTCAATGGATACAACACACAGCTGCTGCTTGTGTGGACAATACAACACACAGCTGCTGCTTGTGTGGACAATACAACACACAGCACTACAAACATCATTCACACATCACATTCAAAACATCTTTAATAAATTAAAATTACTCCATTATAACTGCATTTTGATCAGTTAACATCGTCTGAAGAATATCGTTTAATTCTGATAATTCGAATCAATAAGTTCTATGGCCATTAACCACCTGTGTTTAAACAAGCTTATTCTGCCATCTAAAACTACATATATGAACAGGTGCACGTATCAAAAACTGATATATTGATTTTAAAACGTCTCTATTAGCAAACTTTTCTAGATACCTCCAAGAAATTTGAGTTTTTTATGGTGCTAAATTTTATTTAATAATGTTAACACACATTAATATGTTGACTTCAAAGTGGTACATGTGTACCGCAAGGTGCATACAAGGTACCTATATTTAAAATTTATATTCAATAAAATATTTCAATGCAAACATGGGAACAGATAAAGCCAATAATTAGATCAGAAAGAAGGGACTAAGGATTGACATTGGAATCTACTATAAGTGTAAGGATTAACACTGGAATCCAGCATTAGAGATTAACATTGGAATCTTCTGAATAAACTTATTATAGTTGTCCCTCATCTACAACTGCATCAAAAGTAGGTCCATCAATCTCTCCATGATCATCAGTATAATTTTCCAGGACTTGTATACAACAGGTTTAGCATTGTAGTGGTTCGATAAACTGGGGTTCCACAAAACCTATGTGGATATGAGCCCCCTCACCCTGAGAGACTATCCTGCTCAAGATGATTAGACTGAGTTTGGGACAATGAAAAACAGGTGAATACAAACACCCATATACTTAAGACTAAGAACCTAAACAATGACAGTAGAGGAACATCCTCAGACAGCAAAGCATATTTTTCAATAGATAATCTAAGCCACCCTAGGGGATAAAGCCCTTGTAACAAATTTATGGTAGTACGCTAGTACCTGAATTCGAGATTACTATTACAACATTAGCAAGCTGTTACACCACCTGAAAATTAAAAAAAAAAACACATCCTAGCCTACCACATACGGATCGATAAATAATCATAGTCAGTAAGCAGCATAACCTGGGCTTGATAGACATGGACAAAGGGAGAAATCTGGTTAACAAAACAGCGAGTATTAGCTTGATTTAGCTGAACAGTGTGAGTATTGGCTGAAAGGCTGAAAACAGTGAGTATTGGCTGAAAGGCTGAAAACAGTGAGTATTGGCTGAAAGGCTGAAAACAGTGAGCATTGGCTGAAAGAGTACCGTAACCTTGCATATTCTATCATCTCCTAAAGTTGATAACTAGCAAACATGTAAATGCATAGAGCGGGCAGACACAGAGGATCAAAAATGACGCAAATCTGGAAATCAAGCCCACACTTTTATTATTATGAATTCAATAGTGTCAAATCACAACAAATATTGAGTAATGCACATAATATTGCACATGATAATGTCAATACAGTTCAGAACATGATTCAACACCACTACCCTAAGATTCAACTGGCAGCTATTTCATCAACTTTTTCTTTAATGTTCAGTTCATGCGTGTCTAGCTCCTGTTGCTTTGTTTTCAAAGATCGCCTCATGGCGTTGAACTTTGCGATGATTTTCAAATCCCTCTTCCTCTCCATTGCTTCTGCATATTCATCTGCTGCTTGCTCAAGCGCCTTGATGCCCTCCTCCGTATGGCTTTTCTTCTTCTTTAGTTCATCTAGCTCATCCAACAGAGCCTTCCTCTTCTGGGTTTTCTGGGCTTCTGCATTCTGCTCTTTCTCTTCTGCCAAATAAGTATTGTAGGCTGTTTTGGCACTACCAGCTGCAAGCAGCATCTTCTTGGTGATGGTCATCTTGTCCAGGCCACCAACATGGATGCAGGAGGATGTTGGCCTAGCGATGAAGATGCAGGTGCACCAGTGCTGAAGCTGCACATGCACCAGTGTCCAGTGCTGAAGAAGCTGCACATGCACCAGTGATATCTCAGGCACACGCACACGTGAATGACTTACAGTCTCCTCCCCATGGGTAACATAGACACAAGTTTGAGCTGTCTGAGTTGTCGTACATGGAGATGGCTCTGCTTGAGCTTGAGGCCAGAAATTCAGTCTTTTCATTCTCATAATTTAAAAAAATGGATTCGAGTTCACAATTGCGCGTCTGAAGACTGCATTTGATAGGAAACAATCTATATTAATGCCTGGTAAAATAATCGCAGTGTATGTAAAACAGAAGACACCTAAAAAATACTTAACAAAATTAAGGGCAGATATCATTTGCACCCAAGGTTGTAGACTTGTAGTGTGACACAACCCGTGGCAATTAGGGTTAACATACACAGCACACAAAAATACTTCCCTTTTTATTTATTTGCAAATTCCTGTATTTTTCATAATCTGAAAGGAAATTCCAGTACCTACTTTTTAGGCCTGAAAAATGAAAAATTAAATTCCAGGACATTCCAGATTTTCCATGATTGGTACGCACCCTGAATATAGTACAGTAGGTATATATTAGTAATTTATTATTATAATTATTTATTATTATAATTATTTAGAATTTATTATTATCTTTACTTAAAATTTATTTTATTATGATTTACCTATCAATTTCACATTATTTATTTTTACAAAAAAACAGAGAGTTTTTTAGACTCTCCTTCGAGTTCAATTTCCGAGTCCTATAAGCTATAACTATAAAGTATAGCAGGCAGCAGGAGCAGCTAAGTATCTTGGATAGCCCATCTTAGTAGCATTTTCATATTTAAAAGTTAAAATATTTGTTTAAATCTAGAGTAAATGAGGAAATTCAAAATGAAATGATTCTAAAAAATCACTGGTTTGCCACTATGCCTGTTATATAATGAATGCATCAATGAATTACGAACCCACAACCCACCTGCTGCCCTGCATCATGCAGGTCGCAGGATACATTCACTCATCATGCACTTAGGTATTCATTGTTTATTCATTCATTTTTTTATTTGTCATTCATTCATTTTATGCATAAATTACTCATCAAACTGGAATTTATTCTGTTCAATTGACAATTCTGCCTTTTGGTGAATTTAAACCATTCATATCAATCAGTCACAGCCTCACAGCCTCACAGGCTCACAGACACAGCTGTTTCTCTCACCCACAACACAGGCCACAGGGCCCATTACCCAACCCACGGTCCCACCTGCAGTCAAAGTCTCAAACAAAATGTTTTATTTTAGTTAGAATAGATAGGCTACCTAGCCTGGCTACAAGAGCTTATATAATAATGATACTAAAATCTTTGAAATTGGCTCATTATCGACGCTCATAGCATGTAAATTTTGGAGACATAATTGGTCCTTGGCAAGTTGGCCATGGCAATGTTAAATTTAGGGTTTTAGGCTAGGTTACTTAACTTAGGTGCCCTCCTAAATTGGATTAGGTACAAATAAAACTCCACGCAGATGCAGTGACCCAATTATAGCGCATCAATTTTATAGTAGAATGAAATATTTTGCCTGATATTTAGAAATAAATGAATAAAATGATTTTTACGGAGAATTACAATACTACACGTTCATAGAAATACACATACATACTAAATGCTGCCTCCTCCAATTGCAGATCCAGAGAGAGAGTCCGAGAGTGGCTGTGTTAGTCAGAGTCTGCGAAGAGTTACAGTCTCTCAGGACAGAGACTCAGACTCAGAGAGGCTGAGAGAGCCGCCGCCGCGCAGTGAATTGAACGAAACGAACCTCGGGTGCGTAACGAGTTTTGAACGGCCTTGTAACGAGTTTTAAACGGTTATTCTGAACCATGGTTGAACTATAACTATACTAGTTCAACCCTGATTCTGAACAATGGTTAAACTAATTTACTTCAAGGCTGCAACTCGCTCCTTATTCATCAAGTTGCAATATTTGCTGCTTACGAAAAGCGTTATTTTATCACGATGATAACTTTTCTTTGAAATTGAAGATTTTGCAATTAAATCCTATAGACAAGCAAAATCAATCAGAAAACTAAAATTCACATTTAAGATAAAACCTAAATTGACAAAAGAAAAAATTAAATAAACATGAGGAGACAGGCCTATCCATTTACAATTTCAAGAGGATATGAGCTGAAGACGACATTTAAACACTGGATCACCATTCGACGACACTCTTCAAACTCGCCAGTGAAATCGCCTACAGACTCAAACTATGGTTGAACCAGTATAGTTCAACCATGTTCAAACTCATCTGGGAAACTGTCCCAATCATAACTCATTCAATTATGAACGGATCTGCTTCAAATTCAGAATATAACTAGTTATTACCAATGGGGCATGAAAGGAATTATTACAATTTTCTACGTCATTTTGTTGTTGATTAAAATATGAAAGAACTCAGCTTTCGCGTAACTGTCTCATTTATAACTCCTTCAAGTACGAACGGATCTGTTTCAAATTCAGGATATAACTAGTTATTACCAAAGCGGCGCCGGAGCCAGTTAAAGCACATCCACTCTGAGACGGCGTCCATGCAGACAGACAGACATTCGGTCTGACACCGTGACGGTGTCAGCAACAACGAAACGTCACAAAATGTTGCCATATTTATTTAAAAGCCTTTAGAATGGAAACCTACCAATTCCCTATATTCCGTCACTGTGTGTGGCAATATTCGACACTTGGTGAGTCGTATTCCATCAGCACTTCAAATTTAACTGATACGTAATGCCGTCATCCACATGTTTGAATTCCGTTCGCTGTGTGACCTGTATTGGAATACAACACGGCTTTGAATTAGAACACTAATGAATATTGAACACTACTTAATTATGCTTTTAATTAACAACTATTAGGCTTTTAATTAAGCAAATTTTAATTTTTGTACACAGCTTGGAACGATCTGTGTGTGTCCAATTCAAGTGGTGACGGAATTAGTTTTCATGTGTCTAAATCCATTTCTCAACTTAATCATCTATTAATTTATTTACCACTTGAAATCAGCGAATACAAGTATACTTAAAGGATTCCTAATCTATTCACAGACGTATTTAAAAGTCTCAAACCATAATATTCTTCCTATACAAACAGTTATTCACTATTTGGTAGAGCATGGTCAACTGTCAAATTTGACACATTTTTCGATGATCTCACCAGGTGGCATGCATTGTCTCTCATTGGAACTCAATATTTTCCCACTAGATGGCCAAGACCTAGTGTTTTGGCATTAGTTTGACGCGCAAATGTATGATGTCACCATTTCAACCATCAACGAACGCATGGAACTAAAACAAAGCTTAATATAAGGGAAAAACTAGAGAGGTGACGGAATTACCCACGATGATGGAATATACCGCATTTACCCTTCTTTGTTTACCCACAATTTCAACTAATTTCTTATGTATGATAATGCTGGTATCCAAGATGCTTCTCTGGTCTACTTATAGGACTCAAAAATGAACTTGAGGGAGAGTCTAAAAAACTCTCTGCTTTGCCACTATGCTTTACTTGTCTACTTATAGGACTCAAAAATGAACTTGAGGGAGAGTCTAAAAAAGTCTCTGCTTTGCCACTATGCCAAACGGTAATGCGTCATCATCTTACTTGCTCCGCAAGTCGTTAACCCCGCGTCACTGTTTCCCTACCTTACTATCCCCAGCATCTTCTTCCCCCCACACTTACCCCGACTCTCCACCATTATCGCATGGCTAACTGGAGGCTTTTCTCGCAGACCTTTGATGCTTATCCAACTTAGGTTAGGTTAGGTTAGGTCAGGTTAGATTACAAGTCGTATAGATCCTCTTTTCATAGCGTAATGCAGTCAAGTGAGCAGAAACTAAGAAAAGCCGTCCAGCAGTCGATGAAAGGAAGGCAGGGAGACGGGGTAAGCGTGGAGGTAGAGTTATGCCGGGGGAAATCAGCTGCGATGAACGGTCGGGCTGGAGTGCTGGCTATGTATCAACAGCGGTATGGTGAAGGGAGTTGCTTACCGATAGTCGTGAGGAGGTTTGACGGCATGGGAGAGAGCTCTTAGTCGGTTTTCAATACGGCGTAGAGCGATTGTATTGGTGGCTTACTTCTCATTAGCTTGCTGGTTAATTTCCATGAAGGGGATTTGTACCTTTGGCTTTTAACATATAATCTGTTAGTCTACTCTGCCCTTTAGCAGGCTTACGCACGGAAAGGAGGATGAAAGATATGCTGGTCTTGGGCAATGCTGGCCTCTGGCATGCATCCCACATCCACAGACCACAATTAGGCTAGGTACCACATCAACTTCCCAAACATCTTAAACTAATAGGCCTATAACACGAAGATTTCCAAGTTGAGTAACATTTTCAATAGTAACTAATAACCATCAAGTTATGAGCCTGATTGAGCCATATATTTATCAATGACTAATTTGTCAAATGCCGGGCGTGGAAAAGTGTGAAGTTGTGAAATATGAATTCATGACATGCAAAATACCAATTTATTTTCCAAGTCTTCTGACAGACTGACATTAGAAGCTAGAAAGCAACTGCGTTAATAAATTTGTACTGTAATGGACTGAATGGTCAATGGAGTTCGGACATGAATGATTACTTCATCATTGTAATAGAATAATTCGACTGACGACATGTGTTAACTTGGCAAGTTCAAAACTTTCATCCACACTTTTTAGCAGCTGATCCCCAGCATTCTCGAAAGAAATTTGTGGTCCGGAATTTTGCGTTGCAACAAAAAATGCTTACGAGTGAGGAACTTTGATCTTTAACTCATAAATTTAGTTTTTTTCCCTTCATTAACAGATCATCTTTTTAGACTATGAAGCACATAGGATCGGAATCATGCATCGGAGTACAGAAACGTGTGAAAGGATTGAAAATGGCAATAATTGCGAATATAATTGTATTTCTTGTTATTTTCTAAGAAAAGCTCATAATAAAAGATATTCATGTTACCAAATAGTTCAATATATACAAATAGTTCAATATATACGCAAATACACACATTATTGCCCTAATACCTAATAGGATCCCTTGTGAATCACTGCACGAAAAGTGCAAGAATCGGCAACAGGCCACGGGCCTTTTTTTTCAGTGCCGACACTTCTATTCTATTCTAAAAACGACTAGTCATCGCAGTCCGATGAAACGATGCTAACTACGCAAAAAAATGCATAATTACACTGCCATTATAGAGGGCAGGGTGGCCCAGTGGTTACAATGAATACCAAGATCGGAGCGCCGAGTTGTGGGTTTGATCTCGGCTTCTTATGGCACTTTCGGTCAAAATCGGCGAGGATACCGGGTGGCAGAAAATATGAAATAGGCGCTATGAGTAGTGGGCTTGAAACCTCAACAAGCTGTAAGAATTCTGCGAGGACTTCAATCGGGAAGAGGCTACATTTGGCCTATGTCTATGCGGTTTTTAGGTTTTCCGTATCCCCTAAACTATTAAGCTCAGCTGAATTAGAATTCAAATTAGACTTCCCGAGGTAAAGAAGGAAGCAAACGAACGCGGAAATTTATTCCAAAACACCAAGGAACGAGATCAGTGCAACACTGAGACGAGAGGTAGGGGCAACCATGAACAAATCTGATGCAAATAAATGCATGCCTGATGCAAATATATGCATGTCACAAACATATCTGATGTATCCAAAAGCTCATGCCACGGCGACAACATTAGACAGCTTTCAATAGCAGATGCCATTCATTGGCGGCTTCTTGTCCAACGCGAAGAGAGCCTTTCGTTCACAACAGGTCTCCCAAACTTAAGCTTTAGCTCAAACCTACAGTGTGTCACAAAATCAAGAGGCCTTAAATCTAGTACTTAACTTAAGTAACGGCGCCAACAACATTTTGAACAGGAATACAACAAATGAACGTTTACAGAACACAAAAAATGAATGATGATTCAATCTTCAATCCAACACCAACATTGAACATGTTAATAATAAACCACAGCCAAAATGACCTCTTTATCGAGGGTCCAGCAATAAGATACATAGAAGTATTTCATAAATTATGATAAATAAATATTTCGAATGCAAACATAAAATTGCAAGAAACAGACAACTTAGCTTGAAATACAGGATTTGAGTTCGAAATAATAAATGTATCTAATGGTACATAAAGAGTATAGGTATTTATGATAATCAAACTCAAAATAATGTTTACATACACAAAATAACCTTCATAATCGGGAAGGCAAACTATAAAAGTTAGAAGCACCAACGAAATTTTTTCTGTAGGTGTAAGCTCCTACAGATGCTACCTTCATTTATACCTACTGCATAAAAAGCAGAGAAACAAGCTTCCGCAATGCAAGTCAACGAATACACAAACCTTGCACTAAAGTTTGAAGACACTTCACCTTTAGTCTTGTCTCAGAGTCAATGTTAAAATCAATTCCCTTCAAATGACATCCCTTACTTAGAACTAACAGCTTGTCGTTCTTCCTGTACATGGAGAGGCTATGGACGAGGGGCGTCTGGCTGCCTGACTGGCTTGGAGGGCGAGGCGCTGATGCGCGGCGTCTTGTATTGGTTATGGCCCTGCACCGTGTCGCCCTGTGGGCCAACAAAAAAACGTGAAGTCCAAGCCGGTAGGTCAGCAGGACGGTAGGTCAATGAAAGATTGATGAGAAAACGAAAATGGAGTAAACTTCAAAATTGATTCTTCATAAAAATACGAAAGATGACTAACTTACAGAAAAGCTGCATTGTACGTAAAAAGGAAAGCAATGCCTAATCTTAATCTGGGAAGAATATTGGTCAGATAATAAGTGAAAAAAAAAACGACCAAAAATATGGGCAAATACAAGGTTGCATTGCACAAGACGAGAATTTGTAAGCAAAATAATCACAAAGATTTGTTCTACAGAAGAAATATAAAAGGATCTTGAGGAAATCTTGGCGAGAAGTTTTTGGAGGAGATAAATAAAATGCGACGAGGAAATAGTATCTCTAGCATGTTATTTAGAGGAGACAAATAGAACGTGATAAGATAATAATCACCGAGTCTGACCTGTTCTTCGCGATGCCGCTTAGGAGGCGTGATTTGAGATGTGCTGTCTTCACAGAAAGCTACGTTCAGAGCGCCGCTGGTGTCACTGCAAGCCTCGGTCTCGTCCTAGAGACGGAAGAGCTTGCATTTAACAACCCTATTCTCATCCCTTAGGTTCTGACTTCTCTCTGCTATTACTTGCAATACTTTATAACTTACTAGACCAGTTTCAATTCATTTTATTAACTGAATTTGTTTACATGACGTTATAACAGTAAAATATATCGGAATACCTACAAAGAAAAAACATTAGAAAATTATTTTGATAAGCACAACGCTGCCAGTTCTTAACCGTCATGCAATGAAGCTCACAAATAAAACAACAGTTTAAATTTAAAAACATATTTTACCATTTCTTCAGCGCTCTTTGGAAGTGTCGTCATAATCCTTTGGTTATGTCTCTGAGCAATTTTCAGTATTTTAGTGCCGAGGCTGTCGACTGAGATGCAAGTAGCGTCAACAGTGGCTCCACTGCTGCACGAGCTGGAGAAAACAAGACCAATGAGAACGCATATAAAGTATCATTAGAACAAAATTCAGTGCACAATTCGGGTATACAGAAATAATTACCTTGACAAATTTGCTACTAGTTAACTTTGCAAGGCTGTTATAAGCATGGATATAAAGCAAGGTATTCAATGAGGAAAGAGTCCCGTATGAGCTACGCTTGATGCCCACCTTTCATCAGGGAAATTCTCCTTATCAGAAAGGGACTCAATATCAGAAAGTGTAGGGTAGAGACAGCCAGGCTTGACGCACGGCTCGTAGCTCTTATCGTTGTGGGAATGCCAGTCTGCAGAAAATGTTTTAAAAATAAAAGATACGATCGGAAATATGGCAGCATACAAGATACAAGCTATGCTCAGCAATATGGGAGGATACAAGCTACAAGATACGGTCAGCAATATGGGAGGCAGCTCGAGTGCACAATAATTGAGTTACCATGAGGGGGAGGGGGCATGCAGTCATCAGTGTAGGGGGGAAGTTCCTCAGCATAAGTTCGTGGAGGCTTTGGAGGTCCTGGAGAGAGAGGCTCCGTGCCGGCACAGTAGGAATCTTCGCTCTCTGGATACTCGGAGTCTGAGTGTTCATGATCCTCTGGTGGAATAATGCGGAAAATAATTATATATAATTGGTAAACCGGTGGCTGAATAAAGTAGTAAGAAATGAGTGGATTGTGCAGCAAGGAGGATTAAAGACTACGCCGACAGGACACGAGCGACTTTGTGGTTCACTAAGTAACACTCACGTCTAACCTCGCATCTTCATTAAGCTACTAGTGGGAGGTCGACAGTAGCTGACACAAGGCCGACGTATATTTCTAATGTTTACACTTTAGAACAATAATAAAAATACACATATGATTGAATAAAAAGCTGGAAACTGAAATGATATCTAGATAATGGCTTGCATCGTTTACAGTGTACGAGTATGCAAATCTTACCGCCCATGGCGACGGCGAAAGCAGCAGCTCGTTCCTTAACGGAAGACTGATGAGGAGCATCCAATAGAGGCACGGTTTCAGGCATAGGACACACTCCCTTCACAATCCTGTAAGCCATCAACAAATTAATTTTAGGATAACGCAACAATCAACCAATGAAAACGTCAGTATTATCATTAATATGCACACCGAAATTCGTTGCAATAGAGAATTCACAGATTACAATTCAATTCTTACTCGCGGCCGCCAGCGCCAGAAGAAACAGGTTGTTTTGTGGGGCTCCTGCCACGACCAGCTGCACCAGACGCTGCTGACGAAACCGCGCTGGCTGGAGGAGCGGCAGCAACACTTGCATTTATGTTTAGCGTTGGAGGTCCTGGAGAGAGACCAATGGGGCATTTGTTTCTATAATGCCCGGTGCAATGGCACCGTGAACATTTTCGATTGGATGTGCTGCGCATGGGGCACGTAGTTTTATAGTGCCCCTGATTATGGCACTTGGAGCACAGCCGCTTCGATTCGGAGGGCTTCTGAAAGATAAGATGCAAGTCTTTAATTTACTCGTTTTATTAGTCTTGATCGAAAGTAGAGATGTGCATACAAAATTATCCTAAAACTTGTATTTCCTATAAATTGATTTTGTCATTTTTGTCACTCAAATGGATTGCTTACGCATACATAATACCATATAAATTTTACAAGTTTTAATCACGAGCATTAACTTAATTGGGAACGATGGTGGTATCGAACCAAGGATTTAAAATTTTCCGACGTTTTCGCGGACAAATTTCGTTATATTTTATAAAACTCTATTTTTACAGATAGGGGCACTTATGGCTTAGGTTTTCCATGCTACATGGAAAACCTAATGGAATGGTCTCTCTCACCATTTTGCTTCAACGTAAATATGGGTGAATATAATCCCATCACTCTTGAACCACTAAACACTTAACACACTCATATATTCTTATTGGTTGAGACTTGACACACACCCTCCTCACTGTCTCAAGCGTAACTGATGGCCGTGTTGGCTATTGGTTCTTGAATAAAGCAAGTTTAGGGAAGCTCAACTAAATGTAAATAAACCAAAATGATTACTTCACTCGTCAATAGAAGCAAACCTATAAAATAAATGAATAAAACCAATAAAAAATATTAATACAAAGTTTTATCATGTGATATGCACCTCTAATTATCTTATTATTATATTTCATTGGTGAATGAAACAATCACAAAAACGAGTTTATCCATTCACCTCAAAAGTAAGAAATATAAGGGTAAGGTCACTAACAGCTCGATTGGTGTGGTCGACAATAGAAATTTCTTTTTTTCGCAGCTCCTTGCCGGTTGAGCGCTGGACAATAGTGGCCACCTCTGACGCATCGCGGCACAAACCGATCAGATCTGTAATTAAATTAAACTCTTGAATGCATGCCTTTTTGTGTGGTTGAAAAGGATGTGTAACAATTATTCTTGAACATTTTAATAATGAACTCCTTAATCTATATCTATTGATAAACTCCATATTGTAACGATGATCAGAAATTCGTGGGTCTGACTTCAAACATGATCTCACTCTCAATGTTTTACCAGAAGTGATAGTCTACCACTGGTATTACGTAATGTTAGTTCCTTTCAACATGAATTCCTGAACTAAAAATAAAATGCACCATAAACCATAAATGTGGTATATGATATTGCATCTATTATTTTTCGTCATACTTTAACATAGATGGTGTTAGGTCAGCCTTTAGGCATTTAATCTCATTTCAAGACATCAGTTTGAACCAAGCTAGGATTGCTTAAGGTTTCATTCTTCTACAACATGTCACTGAACACTGCAATGTCAAACAGAACGTATGTTTGCAATTGAAACTGAAATAGAAATGAAATTTTACTGCTAATAATTGCAATTCAATTTTCAAATCAGGGACTGAGATGCATGGTTCTATTCTAGGTATAAGCCTGTTGCTAGAAACACTCCAAATAAATGCAGGGAATGTCTCAAAATACAATTGCATACTCTTCAGCATCATAAACTGAATAACTATAGATTATTCACACCATTAAATTTCAAAATGATACATATACACATCGCTGGGGCACACACCATTAGCTACAGGAGAGGATCGGGTGTTTGAATGATTGGAAGCTGCGGCAGGAGCAGCTGCCCCACTTTCATATGGCGTAGGGTTCCCTATTTCACCTCCGGGTCGGGTGTTTGAATGATTGGAAGCTGCGGCAGGAGCAGCTGCCCCACTTTCATATGGCGTAGGGTTCCCTATTCCACCTCCAACATCTTCAGCCGTTAGGAGGACTTCCAGACCCTGGATGATCATTATCTGCACAGGCATGAGCTCATATGAAATAGCTGGCACATATGGTTAGTGAACAACTGCTTCCCTGACCTGGTTAGTGACCAACTGCTTCCCTGATCACTAATAATACACACAAAATGAATATTCAACACTTTACGTCATTCACGTGTGATATTCACTCTCTGTTGAAAAGGTGGAAAAGCTCAATATAAATCAGATGCACATCAGATCATTGTCACAATTTGATCCAATGATCAAAATTAATATAATATGATGACATCAGAAGCGCCAAATAATTGTCAATAAACTGTTAGACACTAGACTACGATTGTTCCAGGGATAAGGGATGTCTAAATTTAATAATATTCCGGCCACATACCTTTTTTTCTGATACTTGGCTGCAAAAATATTTGGTGACCTTGATAACTGCATGTTGAGCAACTTCACCACTGTTGATCATAGGATTGAGTTGGGTGGCCATGACTGCAAATCCACAACGGTGAACTCCATCAGAGACAAGCAGGCGGCACCGGTCTCCTGTAGGAAACTTGCGCACTGCCTGAAAATTATATATCACATAAGACCTTCTGTAAAACTAAATTGGAAATTAGGAAGGCACTACAAGAAAAAGGCCACATTGTATTTGTTACAATACAAAAAAGAAATAAATACATTAATAACTTCATGGCTAACATTTTCAACTAAATATGAAGTGTTGCAAGCACATATATATAAATATTATATATTATAATGTGCTCAACATCTGAGGGTAGTTATCCTTAATTCCTGCAGTGAGCAGGAAAGAATAACAAAATTTACATTCACAACTTTGACTCTAAAAAAATTTCTCAATGATATTTAGGAAAATTAGTGGCATAATTATAAATAAATGAGAAGATATCTTGAATTAAGGAAAAATTAGAACCACATTTTCATACAATCCTGAAGCCACCATAAGTATACCTTAGCTCTTTAATGCATACTGTAAGCAGCTTCTAGCATAGGGGATGTATAAAAATATCTACAGATTGAGGGAAAAAAGTCATGAGTTATTAGGAGAATAATAATTCAATAATAAACTATGCACAACTATTAAAAAGGTGATATTGTTTTTTTTTTTAATCTTCATTCACATTTTTAATAATGATTGATAGACTTTATTAAATGAGAATGTAGAATGCATGCAAATTTAATAATAATGAGGTAAGATTCATAGATAATTTATACATTAATTGTCCAAATTTTTTTGTTGCTATCTTACTATAACTTGGAGAATGACATCCTCGGGCTTCTCTCCATTATTGATAGCCTGAAATAAAAAATACATACATAGGAATTATATAAAACAGGAGGTCAATTATATTGACATAGAAGAGATGGCATATTATACAATAAATACTAAAGCAGTAGCAAATTTTCATAAATTCATGATTATTAATAAAATGATTATTTTTGTCATACAAAAGTTTTATAAATTGGGGACATAAATGATAATTTTGCAAGTAGTTATTAAAAATTGTGGGCAAAATTATGTATTATTAATTATTTTTCACTGAAGAAATTGGGAAAAGGCTAAAGTAATGGGTGAAAATGGCCAGATTCATGGGCTTTTTTGTCTAATTCATGGGTGGAATCTGCCCAATTCTTAACTTTGAAAATATTGAGATCCAAAGAGAGACAATGCATGCCACCCAGTGAGATCATCGAAAAATGTGTCAAATTTGACAGTTGACCTTGCTCTACCAAATAGTGAATAACTGTTTGCGTAGGAAGAATATTATGGTTTGAGACTTTTAAATATGTCTGTGAATATATTAGGAACCCTCTAAGTATACTTGTATTTGCAAATTTCAAGTGGTAAATAAATTAATAGATGATTAAGTTGAGAAATGGATTTAGACACATGAAAACTAATTCCAACACAACTTGAATTGGACACACAGCTTGTTCCAAGCTGTGTGCAAAAATTAAAATTTTCTTAATTAAATGCTTAATAGCTGTTAATTAAAAGCTTAATTAGGTAGTGTTCAATATTCAATAGTGTTCTAATTCAAAGCCGTGTTGTATTCCAATACAGCTCACGCAGCAATCGGAATTCAAACATGTGGAGATCGGCATTACGCATTAGTTAAATTTTAAGCGCGGACAGAATACGTCTCACCACATGCCAAATATAGCCACACACAGTGATGGAATATAGGGATTTGGTAGGTTTCCATTCTAAAGGCTTTTAAATAAATATGGCAACATTTTGTGACGTTTCATCATTGCTGACACATACGTAGTACGGTATTTTGAGAGTCACATAAAGCAAACAGAACTTGAGTAATGCATACAGTTATTTTTTTATAGTTTTTCATTTCTTGATGCGTCCTTAATGTGACGGAATATACCGCATTTATTCTAATAATTAAAAATTTAATCTCCAGTTGAAAGATTGAAAATTGAATTAATTAATCCATAACTTCAAATGCTCAAGTTTAGATACTAAATTAGGGTAAACGCGGTATATTCCGACATTGTGGGTAATTCCGTCACCTCTTTAGCTTTTCCTTTATATTAAGCTTTGTTTTAGTTCCATGCGTTTGTTGATGGTTGGAATGGTGACGTCATACATTTGCGCGTCAAACTACTGCCAAAACACTAGGTCTTGGCCATCTAGCGGGAAAATATTGAGATCCAAAGAGAGACAACGCATGCTACCCAGCGAGATCATCGAAAAATGTGTCAAATTTGACAGTTGACCTTGCTCTACCAAATAGTGAATAACTGTTTGTATAGGAAGAATATTATGGTTTGAGAATTTTAAATACGTCTGTGAATATATTAGGAATCCTTTAAGAATACTTGTATTTGCTGATTTCAAGTCGTAAATAAATTAATAGATGATCAAGTTGAGAAATGGATTTAGACACATGAAAACTAATTCCGACACAACTTGAATTGGACACACGCAGATCATTCCAAGCTTTGTACAAAAATTGAAATTTGCTTAATTAAAAGCCTAATAGCTGTTAATTAAAACGCAATTAAGTACCGTAAAATGGGGTTACTTTGACCGGCGGGGTAACTTTGACCACTTTTCGTTTTTTTAACAAAAACCCCCAAAACTCAAAAACGATTTGACATAGAAAAATTTTGTCAATGACCATCAAAGGCCTAATACTGAGGCTACATAACACAATAGAAAAATGTAAAAAGTTTGCATATTTATTAGGTTAAAAAATTAATAATGCAACCCACGAAAAGAAGCTATCATTTAAAGCCTGTCGGAGTACCCCCCACAATTTTTTGTTTTTTTGGTAAAATAACTCCAGGTTTTGATGCATTGTAGTAGAACTCTTCTAGTTACATGTGCAAAAGACAAATTTTAGGAAAGTGTCATAGTTTTCAAATGGGGGGCACCGCCCCCCAATGGGGTAACTTTGACCACCTAATGGCAGCTGTGACAGGGTAACATTGATCGGCTTGGAAATTAAGTTAAAATTACTATAGGTACCTATATAACATATTTTATGTTTGATACACTTATTAATGTTTTTTTCTTTATGTTTTAAACTCTACAGAGTCTTATATATGGTGATTTTAGCTTAATTTCCAAACCGGTCAATGTTACCCCGTCCAAGCTGCCATTAGGTGGTCACATTTCGCCCATTGAGGGGCGGCGCCTGCCATTTGCAAACTATGACACTTTCCTAAAATGTGTCTTTTGCATATGTAACTAGAAGAGTTCTACTACAATGTACCACAACCTGGAGTTATTTTACCAAAAAATAAAATTGATTTTACCACCCGGTCAAAGAAACCCTAAGAACTGGGGTAACAAAGACCATCACTTTTTTTTAAATTACATCAAAACTATGAGAGGCAGGAGCCAGCAATTTATGCTGAGTAAAGCTAGAGTATAGACCTGTATTTTGCATGTTTCAAATTAAGTTTAACTTATCGAGTAAAAAATGGCATCATTTTTATAAAAAAGGGGTCAAAATTACCCCATTTTACAGTAGTGTTCAATATTCGTTAGTGTTCTAATTCAAAGCCGTGTTGTATCCCAATACAGCTCACACAGCAAACGGAATTCAAACACGTGGATGTCGGCATTACGTATCAGTTAAATTTGAAACGCCATCGGAATACGCCTCACCACGTGTCAAATATTGCCACACTCAGTGACGGAATATAGGGATTTGGTAGGTTTCCATTCTAAAGGCTTTTTAATAAATATGGCAACATTTTGTGATGTTTCATTGTTGCTGACGCGTAGTGCGGTGTTTTGAAAGTCACGTGAAGCAAACAGAACTTACATAACGCATACGTTTTTTTATAGTTTTTCATTTCTTGATGCATCCTTAATGTGTCGGAATACAGAACTCACATAACGCATACGTTTTTTTTATAGTTTTTCATTTCTTGATGCATCCTTAATGTGTCGGAAATTCGGAATATACCGCGTTTACCCTACCAGGTAAAAATTTGAACCCTGTATCATGCTGCAATTACATATCAATTTTAAATTACCTTAGTAATTTGAGTTTTGTGAAAGCCGACCTTAAATTAGAGGAGCAGCTCGCAGCCTCAGGCAGACAACCTCCCACACTGACAGTCTAGATAACACTGCCTGCGGCAGTGCACCTGCCAGCTGCGCAATGAAGATTGCACTCGCAGCAGTCATTGCGTAAGGGGTATAGCAATGCAAAATAGTCTTGGAGCGTAAACACAGTCTTCAGAATGTGAAATGACTCTAATCTTCAAGATCATTTATAAATTAATAAAAGCAACATTCTTCCCTAAACAGACACTGGTATGCACAGGAAAACTTTCGCTAATAATAATTATGACCTCAGTTACACGTATTTCTTCATAAAATTTACTGCTTTTTGCTTTTAATTTGTAAATGTTTAGTTGACAGGTACAAGGGCGAGCTGTATTGCACTTCATGATTGTTTATACAAGTTTTAAACTGAAATACTCAGTAAAATTAAAAAATACTTGAAGAAAAGCCAATGTCTATCATTAAAATTCATAAGAAATTATTTAAACATTACCTATGGCACATTTCATATTATAAAAGTAGAAAAGGCCACTAATGACACTTCACTGGTAGAGGATTATTGACACCACTTAAAATAAATAAGAGGATGCAACTCGACGATCGAGTTCTCTTAAAAAAAATTGGAAATGATTTTTCATGTGAGAATTACATTGTTCCAATATATTTTTTAATAATCTCCTCAGATTTTTTTATTTATTGATAGTACCGTCAACCGGGGCTACTCGGGACAGGCGGGGCTACTCGGGACAGGCCTATGACACGGCGTAAAACTGTTGTAGCAAAACTAATTGGAATATTGCAAAACTAAAAATAGTGGCGTAAACGTAACTATTTTACCTATCTATCTAGTATAAAGGAAGTCGAAAAATACTACATTTACTTGCTTTGAAAAATTTTAAATATTCGCCATATTCAAAAAATTTACTTACATAAAAGTTGCACCCAGGTGTCGGCTTGAAAACATAATTGACAGAATTTGCCTATCTAATTCCAAAAATAAATGGCAGCCATTTCCGCACGGCGGGGCTACTCGGGACACCCCCCCAGGGCTATTCAGGACACCCCCAAAAACGCATTAAGGGTAGAACCTCAGTTAGCAAAGGCTTCAATTATGAAAAAAATTGATTAAAAACAAAGAATATTGATCACATTTTCCTTGCTCAGTGAAAAAAATTTCACTTATTGAAAAATTAGTGCATCATCAGTCATCTTAAAATTGTGCATAGCATGTCATGTATAGAATTGTGCACCAGGCATTATAGAATGAAAAGTAATTGACCTAAACTATGATTTATTTCTCCAAAAGATAGGCTGGTTGTCACTAAAACATTCCTTTCAGGAAGTTAATGATCACGCGAAGTTAATGATCACGCAAAATTAATGATCAGGGGAAGTTAAATACCATGTGAAGTTAATGATCATGTGAAGTTAATGACCAAGTGAAGTTAATGATCACGGGAAGTTAATGATCACGTGAAGTTAATGATCACGTGAAGTTAATGATCAAGTGAAGTTAATGATCAAGCTAAGTTAATGATCACGTGAAGTTAATGATCACGGGAAGTTAGTGATCATGGGAAGTTAATGATCACGGGAAGTTAGTGATCATGGGAAGTTAATGATCACGGGAAGTTAATGATCACGGGAAGTTAATGATCACGTGACGTTAATGATGACGCAAAGTTAATGATCACGCAAAGTTAATGATCACGCGAAGTTAATGATCACGCAAAGTTGATGATCACGCGAAGTTAATGATCACGTGAAGTTAATGACCACGGGAAGTTAATGATCACGGGAAGTCCCACTTAAAATAATGTGAAATTACAAGCCTTCCTGTAAGCTTACAGATAGGAAAAAAATGTCATAAGGCTGCTGATATGAAGCTTGCAATGGACAAGGTTGTTGTAAATGCTCAATGGCATGTTCATGGATATGGTAATATCACATCAATAATACGATGTCACATCAATAATACGGTAATTAGTGTATATGGCAATATCATATCAATAAAAGAAAAACAAGTAAAAATCACAGAAAATGTCATTTATTCTACCTCTACATCATCTACAATGAAAGAGGAGGACTTCAGAGTACTGTTAGTAATGTATGAGTACGCTCTGCATGCTTCAAATGTTTTGAAATGAAGTTTTATTCCCATTGTCCCGAGTAGCCCCAACCGACGGGGCTACTTGGGACAATCTCTCTTTTGTGTCTGGCACCTTACGAATAGCATATGGAATTTTTTTGACAACGCCATTCGATAGCCCTGCCAATCAGCTATAAAATGAGACTTAACTTGTTTATGAAATGTTTCATCGTAAGAAGTTATTAACTGTTATTTAAAACTAATCGTTCAAATCTGTCCCGAGTAGCCCCGGTTGACAGTAATTAATTAATGACTGCTTCCCAATACTTATTTAGATGTCAATAAATAGCTTCGTTTTTAATTGGCTTCTAATCTGTAAGGGGGCTAAAAATTAACTTTCAATGAGCTGAATGAAATCAAACAATAAAAAAATTATGACAACGCACAAAAAATTATAATGTCAATCTATAATTTAGTTGTTAATTATCTCCTTGTATTAATTTGGCAAACTTGTGCATGATCAGATGGTAAAAAGTAGCCATAATTTGCTAAATAATATCGAAGGGAACTACTTCGAAGTTTGAATAATATCAAGAAAAACTACCCTTCATTTTATTAGGTCAAGATTGGTTTCGATTTAAAAAAAGTATACGTGGAACATTTTCAGTGGAAATTTGTCTCAGAACTGTCGATTCAGTCTACATTGCCTTTCGAAGTTCTGCAAACAAACCTTAAGTTAAGGATACAATCATTGTGATAAAATTCTTAAATGAGAGAATTATGAACAAATAAAAATTAGGAAGGAAAAAAACCATCTGAATTGCTTAATGAGTCTTTAATTTAAATAGCAATGAGTTGTTGCCATGACCATTTAGATTGATTGACACATTATTTTGTTGCAGAATGGCAACCGATAATCAATATACATAGGAGATAAAATGTATGTTTTGAAAGCAAAAATATTAATATAAATTCAACTCTTGCAACTGAATTTAAGGCTTTTGACCCTTTTAATGAGTGCAAAATTCTTTTTTAAGTGTTGTCTACCTTATTGTCCTTTGTTTATAGTCTGTTACATCTATAGTCCACGACTGGCGCGTAATTAATTCATGTACCAGCTGGAACTAAGTGCTGTTCTTACTCCGATCTCCAATTTCTCCTCGAGTGGATTACTGATAAGTGATAACTGACTAAGCTAGTCGTCATTTTATGAGCATAGTAACTTTACTAACGTAGTAAGTAATATTTATTTGTGAATTGTGATCATTCCTGAATAGTTGCATCCAGTAATCTACTTTCATATCTCCTGTAAATGGCTCCATTGCGTAAGTCTTATAGCAGTTCTCCCTTTCTTGGCTATAACTGTTGACTGATTTCTGCTTTCAGTGCACCATTCTGAAAAAAAATTAGATTAGGATCAGTTTATTAATGAAAAACCTAGAAACCTAGTGGGAAGCAAAAAACCTAGATCTAGGTTTTTTCTGCTTTGGAGCGCCACAGTGCCTGCGGAGTGCCTGCTGGAGTGCTGGGGCTAAATGCCCAAGGATTTGCTAAAAAACCACCATGCCCTGTATAAATGTTAGGGTAAACGCGGTATATTCCGTCACATTAAGGATGCATCGAGAAATGAAAAACTATATAAAAATAACCGTATGCATTACTCAAGTTCTGTTTGCTTTATGTGACTCTCAAAACACCGCACTACGAGTCAGCAACAACAAAATGTCACAAAATGTTGCCATATTTATTTAGAAGCCTTCGGAATTTAAACCTACCAAATCCCTATATTCTGTCACTGTGTGTGGCAAGATTCAGCACGTGGTGAGGCGTATTCCGTCCGCGCTTCAAATTCTACTGATACGTAATGCCGTCATCCACGTGTTCAAATTCCGTTTGCTGTGTGAGCTGTATTGGAATACAACACGGCTTTGAATTAGAACACTAATGAATATTGAACACTACTTAATTACTACGCTTTTAATTAACAACTATTAAGCTTTTAATTAAGCAAATTTTAATTTTTGTACACAGCTTGGAACAATCTGTGTGTGTTTAATTCAAGTTGTGACGGAATTAGTTTTCATGTGTCGAAATCCATTTCTCAACTGAATCATAGGGTAAACGCGGTATATTCCGTCATCGTGGGTAATTCCGTCACTTCTCTAGTTTTTCCTTTATATTAAGCTTTGTTTTAGTTCCATGCGTTCGTTGATGGTTGAAATGGTGACGTCATACATTTGCGCATTGAACTAATGCCAAAACACTAGGTCTTGGCCATCTAGTGGGAAAATATTGAGATCCAAAGAGAGACAATGCATGCCACCTGGTGAGATCATCGAAAAATGTGTCAAATTTGACAGTTGACCATGCTCTACCAAATAGTGAATAACTGTTTGTATAGGAAGAATATTATGGTTTGAGACTTTTAAATACGTCTGTGAATATATTAGGAATCCTTTAAGTATACTTGTATCTGCTGATTTCAAGTGGTAAATAAATTAATAGATGATTAAGTTGAGAAATGGATTTAGACACATGAAAACTAATTCCGTCACAACTTGAATTGGACACACACAGATTGTTCCAAGCTGTGTACAAAAATTAAAATTTGCTTAATTAAAAGCCTAAAAGTTGTTAATTAAAAGCGTAATTAAGTAGTGTTCAATATTCATTAGTGTTCTAATTCAAAGCTGTGTTGTATTCCAACACAGCTCACACAGCGAACGGAATTCGAACACGTGGATGACGGCATTACGTATCAGTTAAATTTGAAGCGCTGATGGAATACGACTCACCAAGTGTCGAATATTGCCACACACAGTGACGGAATATAGGGATTTGGTAGGTTTCCATTCTAAAGGCTTTTTAATAAATATGGCAACATTTTGTGACATTTCGTTGTTGCTGACACGTAGTGCAGTGTTTTGAGAGTCACATAAAGCAAACAGAACTTGAGTAACGCATATGGTTATTTTTTTATAGTTTTTCATTTCTCGATGCGTCCTTAAGGCTTAATGTGACGGAATATACCCGTTTACCCTACTTAAAATCAGCAATTACAAGTATACACAAAGGATTCCTAATATATTCACAGACGTATTTAAAAGTCTCAAACCATAATATTCTTCCTATACAAACAGTTATTCACTATTTGGTAGAGCATGGTCAACTGTCAAATTTGACACATTTTTTGATGATCTCACCAGGTGGCATGCATTGTCTCTCTTTGGATCTCAATATTTTCCCACTAGATGGCCAAGACCTAGTGTTTTGGCTTTAGTTCGACACGCAAATGTATGACATCACCATTTCAACCATCAACGAACGCATGGAACTAAAACAAAGCTTAATATAAAGGAAAAACTAGAGAGGTGACGGAATTACCCACGATGACAGAATATACCGTGTTTACCCTACTTACCTACTATATACCATGATAGCTACCATCAATGACGCATTGACACACAAGTGGTCTAGTGGTGAAGTGGCCACTGGTCAGTCAGGATATTGCGCATAGGCTAGTGGCAAATGGCAATCCAGAGATTCGCAGGATTGGAATTTTCTAATTTGTTTCTGTAGTCTTCCAACTTGACAAATTTTCAATACATTTGGAATCTTGCGGGCTGCGGCCAAATTGAGCACTTTCGTTAACAATTAGATTGGAGGTTATTAATCTGGCAGCTAAGAGCTTACGACTGGCAGAAATCTCACAGATTCCTGAAATGGCAGGAAATTCCTACCAGCCACCATTTCAAGACAAACCAGAGATTTTTTAGCATTGGTTCATTTTCAATTTCTTCATTTAGGTACCTAAGATTTAAACCAATTTCTTATGTAGGCTATGACAATGCTGGTCTGCTGGTATCCAGGATACTTTACTGGCTTACTATTTACTAATACTAGCTAATACCTAGGACTCAAAAATAAACTTGAGAGAGTTTTTAAAAAACTCTCTGCTTTGCCACTAGGCACTATGGGCCGCCCGTGGGATTTACAGGAAAGCTCCAGTCGCGGCCCTAATGCTAGAATTTTTCCATGCTTGGAGAATGGAGAGTTGGATTCTTGGACACAGGAGCTACTGCACTCAAGGCCTATGACCAATTGAGAATTGACCATCGAATGATCGAGTCTACTCTGAACGGAATTATTGTAATTAGGTACAGAACAACATAACGGAACATAACAAAATTATTTTTTACTGAGTAACAGGTAAGTATAACTCACTGCAATAGTACCAGCCGAAAGTTGAACCGCCATCTTGCAACTTAATGCAATTAGGTTACTAATGAACAACAGCCGTGAAAACTCTGGTAGGTATAGTGTTTACTAGTTGAAACGCGTTACTTTGGCGGGCTGCTAGTGGTCATGGTTGAATTAATTCAACCATGGCTAGTGGTAGTCTGGTGAAAAGCTCCAGTCAGTTTTGTTACGCTAGTAGAGTCATGAAGATCCTCAATATATTTTCCTTTGTTCCTCTTAAGACGCATGAGCATGATCTGAATGAAACCGGTCCATAAAATTAAAACCTACATTATTACTCAGTCGCAAATAAGTATAACGAAATGAAAAACTGCAATGAAATGGACCAATTAATTCCTTAGTAAACCACTGGGAGTGACTTAGGAAATGAGGGAAATTTTACAGGGACGTAGTAAATTTCACAAGGACTACATATGTTTTCTTTAATAAAATGCGCATACACATCTAGAAACCATGTAAAACTGCCATCATGAACATGGATCGATAAACAAATCTTATACAATTGATTATTAAGGATGAGCATACCATCAGAGCTTCTATAAAAAAAAATCAAAGTTGAACACTTCAAAGCAAGTATGAATAGTGCATGAAAATTAAAAATTGAGGCTCAAATACTTGATATAAGCGAGTTATCATCGAAAAGTTCATCAATATGATCAAGAAATTATCAACTTATGTAATAAACATCCGATACATTTGGAAAACATAGAGAATAGAATAGAAGTGTCGGAACCTAAGAAATAGGCCCATGGCCTGGTGCCGATTCTTGTACTTTTCGTGACTTGATTCCACATGGGATCCGGCCTTTTGAACCCGATCTTCTCAAAACTGAATATTGATTTAGATAGCTGCTAGACTTATTGCAAAGCCCGTAAGGTGCCAGGCATTTCAAGACAGAACAATTGTTCCTGCATAGCTTCGTCTAGTCTGTTCCTGAAGGCATTCACACTCGGAGCGTCATCGATGCTATCATGCTATCAGGTAGGCTGTTCCACATATCGGTGACTCGAAGCAAGAAGAAATGTTGTCGCATGGATGTGTTACAACGTAGTTTTTTAGTTCATAGCCGTGGCTACTGGTGTTGGTTTTTGTTTCAAATTCTAGTAATCCTCCTGGGACCTTGTATAAACCGTGGGTATACTTGTATACTTCAATGAGGTCACCACGCAGACGTCTATAACAGAGGCGTGGAAGCTTCATAATCTTGAACCTTTCTTCATAAGGCTTGGCTTTTAATCCTGGGGGTATCCTTGTTGTACGTCTTTGAACACTCTCGACTAAATTTTAGTCCTTTTCTAGTTTTGGTGACCACACGGCGTTTCCAAACTCTAGGTTCGGACTCACGACAGTGACAAACAACAGTTTCATCGCTTCAGCACGAATGAACTCGTAAAAGCGTCTGATCAGTCCAAGTTGTTTATTGGCTTTATTAACTTGAGCTTCAATTTGCATAGAAATTTTCAACTCATTGTCGACAATAACTCCTTAATCTTTTTGTATAGTCGACTTCGACAACAGGCCATAGGCCTATTTCTTCAGTGCCGACACTACTATTCTATTCTATCAACTCTCTGTCGTTGCAACCATGTCTTCTCATGTAGCGAGATCCGCTACATCACGTTAAAACGCAGCTGCCACTTAGCAGCCCAGTCAACCAACCTGTAAAGATCACCTTGCAACGTAATTTGTTGGTGTCAGAGATAAAAAACTATAATAAATAAATAGTTAAAATATACTATATTATATACGTATTTCGGAAGTAAAGTTACAGACTAAGGTTTAATATTGATGGTTAACTGACAATCCCCGAACTTTTGTAGCTGATTAACGCATCTTCTACGCGACATCACGTTGGTTAGTAAAGAGACTCGAACACTAAATTTTTGTAGAGTAGGCCTAAGAATAGTTGCAGTTAACGACACTTTTCATGCATTTCAAGGACGTCACATTTTTTACAATACTTTTTCGTTTCTCCGCGTTTAACGAAGAAAATGGAAAGGCAAGTACAGCTTGACATAAAAGTTCAGGATAATATAGCCTATATAGGCCTACTATAAGTAACGAGAGGCTTATCATAGACTAACAGCATACCATGAAAACCCATTCGCCGTTTCAAATGGGAACAATTTTCATACTGCTTGAATGTTAAACAAATTCGATTTGAATATTCAAAGATAATGTTCTCGTGCGATTAGTGAGGAAAAAACACACGAGAGCTGTAGGAACAAAATTATGACAAAAATTTCATTTTTTTAAATCTTGATTATTTAAAGTTGATGTTAGAAAATGATGCGATGTCACAGCAATGTAATGTATCCTCCAAAGAATAGATTTCCCCCAAGTACCCATGAGTATTGAGTATTGGCAGTTTATCGTGTTTTTAAGTGTGGTTATCTTTAGGCTGATGGGAGAATTGATAACACCAGCCGATCCTGCTCCTTCAATCAGAAGGTTAGATTCGTGACAGTGGCTCCTGGGCGAAGCTCGAGTGAGGTGGATACTAATTGAAAGCGAAGTTCATCTCACCCAACCTTCAATTTTATCATAGTATAAATCTGTGAATATTGTACGATACATGTGATTCTAATAGTAAATAATAAACAAAATGTTCAATATCGTTGACAAAGTAAATCCATATTAACAAAACTGGATAGCTATATTCATTTTATCCATATTGAAAACCCGCCGGACTTATGAAATGTATAATAGAAATGAATATATGTTGATGCAAATAAGCATTATAAATACTAGTAATAGGAATTGCGATCAAAACGAAATGAATCCGTTAGAGTCCATCAAGTAATGGGTTGGGATTGTGATCGTTCGGGTTATTAGTGAATTAATTGTGGCATTTGGTTGGTTTAGTTCTTCATCAAACAACCTGTTATCAGTTCAATTGAAAAAAAAATACAGTAATTGAACTAATGGAGGCAAATATCTTTACAGTTCTTCGAATTGGAGAACTACTGGATTCAAGAATAAGTCAGATAATATGGAAGCAATCAAGGCGGCTGGGACGTATTTCGTCTCCTACATCCAGAAAACGTAAGTCAATAATAATGAGTTATCCATGAATCCACCATACATATTTTTTCCATTAATCAGATAAAAAAAACGTTTAGCGTATTTTATGTATTTATATTGTGGAACAAGCGGGTACCTATTTAATTATATATAGAGCGTCAGTACATTTCTCACTCAACTGCTACAATAATACGCTGGCATTCGTATAGTGAACCGTTGATTTGTTTGACACAATTATTGTTCAAAGGTGGCTGGTAAACTACGCATATAAACTGCACCAAACTACTCACTACGCCTCCCCGGGCTTCTTGCTAACCATCGCTTGTCCGATCCTCTTCGCTCTGCAAGGCGCCGTGGTGAATAAGTCTGGCGTCACTGTGGACTCGGGAGTGGCCCATGCTGTGCTCTGGACTGTGCTCGTTGGCATACGATTCAACATCATCAAGCAATGGTATAATCAAATTCGTAAAATAAATAGTAGATAACTTAATTCAATTATGGTTTCATCAACATATTTATCAGGTTTCTTCTTCATTAATACGTTCGCCAGATAAGAAGGTTTCAGTAATGATGCTAAACATTGTGCGATGATCGTCAAACGAATTCTCGTTTACTGAAAACTGGTTTAGTTTACCGGCTCAGATTCTAAAGTATAGTACCTGAGCAGCTGAAACTATAATAGGCACATCTTTCACATCGACCACGTCAAATAATAAGTTTACAGCAATTGTATATAATAAACATTGTGCCATGATCGTTAAACGAACTTTTGCCTACTATAAACAGGCTCATTTTACCGATGCAGCTTCTAAAATCTAAAGTATCTTACCTCACTTCCCGAGACAATAAAGAGCACTTCTCGGGCATCAACCACAGGTCTCTCGGTGAGGACCGTCCGTTTTGGTGGGTGTCGGAATCGCCTCACTTCACGTGGCAACGTATCCCCGACTTACGCCAGTTTCCCGTCACTTGTTTGACCAGCCCCGCGGCTCCGCTCTTCAGCCTCTTGGCCGCGGGGGCTGGAATCGTGATCGTGAATGCCGCTGTGAAGCTCATAAAATCCATAGAGTTCAAGTAAGTGCGGTCGAGTTCGACCTTTAAATTACGACTCATGGTTTATGTTGAGTCAAAATCGATTTATTGTAACCTTGTTATAAAACATAAATTCGATGATTCGTATAAAGAACAGAATAAAATTGTTGTGGCGGAAGCCGCAAAGCTGTCAATTGAATGTTTTCACGGCAGAGCAAGAACCACTTAGTATACAACTCCGGTAAACTGTTCACATGATGTAAGAAAACGTCCAAATTTGTTCAGGAACGCAAGACAACGACGCTGGATTGTCATTGGCACGTGGCTGAGTTTCGGAGTGTTTGTCGGTTCGGTGGCTGAGGCAGAAATGTTGTTCTTGACGAATTTTCCCCATCAAGTTGCTATCTCGCTTGCTATTGGTGAGTTTTTGTGAAATATTTACCTTCTTTATAAAAAATATTTAAAACATATACGGCTCTATAGAAACATGTAAAAAATATATCCCTACACTCAATCTGTATTGGTAACCTTCGATGGGTTCACATGTGGTTCTCGTTTCCAGGTTTGTCTATTGGGTACGTTGCCACCCGCAGAAGTTTCTCACGCGTTGCAAGCATCAAGAAAATCTTACTTGTAAACTTAGTCATCATGGCCCTCTGCTACTTGGCCATGTGGAGAGGGTGGGTGTAGGAATTACTTGAAGAATTATTCATTCTTAAGAACTCAACATTCAAACATGCTAGTAGAATAAGGTACCGTTGCACGACGGCCGAGCAATGCCCAGCTTAGGTTGTTCGATAATGTCTAGTCTTTCGTTTGAGCAGTGAAGCCATTGCTACATTCAACGATTACCAGAAACTGGTATTCAAATGGTGCCAAAGAAGAGAATGGATGCAGATTGACCCAAGTCCGCTCCTCGACTCATTCCTTTACACGGGATGAGAAAATCTTCCTATTACAAGCGTGTCAACAAACCCAAGTAAGTTGTAAGCAAATTTTGAGTTAAAATTCATCTCGTTAGCGCTTCACATATTTCTAGGATAGCAGAAGTGATACAATTTATCGCATTGCAAAAATATAGCTGGTAAATCCAAGTTCCTCATCATTATGGACGTAGTTATACATACTTCTCCTGGAGTTCTGGAGTTCGAAAGCAACAGCTACAGTTCAAGCCTCTATCCTAATATTTGCAATGAAGATGTCTTCATTGATTATTCAAGCATCGCAACTGCACCTTCATGTTAATCACTAGTACACGCATCCGATTATTGTCCCACGCATCTACGATTGCAGACTCGCTATCTAAATTAAATTTTCAGGTTCACGTACAAGATGATAATTTCCCTCGTAATCCTGAACCTCGGGGCTGCACTGGCAATAGCCTTGATCTTCGACGCCATTCCGAAGACTCTAAAGCAACCTCACGTCTACGCTTGGTACGCGGCGCAGCTTGTAGGGGGCATCCTGATCCCGTACTCCTACGGTGCGGTGGTACCGTACTTCGTGCAAAAAGTATCTGGAGTTCCACCTCTAAAAATTAAATGAGCTCATTGCGTTTGAAGAGATTTTTACTCCCAGCCAAGGTCATCTACTCTTCTAGAACCTACAGAAAGTCTGATTTGCATTATTTCTGTCTCGTATCAGAATTGATACGGCGTTCTTGATCATTAGAATGTGATTCACATCGATGCAGGTTAGATTAGCCGTCAGAAAATTGCAGCTTTGCCGTCACAAGGTGCAACAAGAAACCAACGTCCTCAAAACCAATTATACTTATAATAACGAATTTCAGGAATAAAAGGAGGAGAGTAATTTTGGTGAATCAAAACACTGGACTTTAATGCCATTTGCAGATTATTATTTTCAGTAAAACCAAAAAAAGGACATGTCCAAACCTAAGAAAAAAAGAGAACCACTTTAGGCGTAAAGATGGAATGTGGCAGAAGAGACTGCCTTTGAAGTGCCGATCAAATTATAGCGGATCATTAAGATAACAGCGCACAAGAAAATATTCATGGTTCAGTTCAAGAACATACGTTAAACACTAGTTAAGATTAGTTCAATTTTGAGAAGGAGGGCAATGTTGCCGAAAAAGTTCGTTATACGACACCGTAAAGAATGAGTTTGTTGCATAACAATAGGTCAAGGGGACGTACAAAAAAATGACGACCATTTTCTTGGCCGCGGAACGCAAATCACGGTACTGGTTGGAGGCGATACAACATGTAATCAACGCAGCAATGTGCATTAATCTAAATTCTAGATTACAAACAAGGAACAGGACAGAGAGCGCGATAAAAGGCGAGGGGTGCTCGGGAGCTTCCTAATTTAAAGAGTGTTTAGTAAGTCGGTCTTCCAGCACGTTGTAAATTTCACAGTGCATTATTTCAAAATAAGAAATGAGAAAAGTTTAAAATCGCCTAGAAGAAAGCATTCGGCACTTCTGCGGCTTACAATTCAATAGGTTAAACAGGTTAGTTCTCCCAGAAAAAAATACAGTAACTCCAAATATTCTTATGAATAGGCACACTTCAGAATAATGATAATTCATCAATAAAACCCTTAAAATCCACTTGGGAACACGTATAAGAAGTCAGTCCCAGCATCATTAGTTCGCGATTGAACGTATCTCAAGTAGCATAGCTTGCAGCCATTGCTCACACGCTTACCCCTCCATGTAGTATGTACGAACGAACCAATTGCCGACGCATGCCATGACTATCTAGTGACAAAGAGTGGAAATACAAAAGTGAACCGCAATGAGGCTTCAGTGATGGACGCATGCCTAACGACATTTAATTAGTATTAGACAAAGCAAGCAAGTAAACTAACACAAGTACATGCACACGGGTGCGGAAAAGAAAAGATGCGAGCTGAATTGTTTACAAGCAATAATAGCAAATGCACCCGCATGGTACAGCGCAGTTAACGGCAGAATTTTAAAAAAGATGATTTCCTTGAAAACAGATCAAGGGCAAATGCCATGTAATTTAAAATGCCGCCTCTCTGACTCAGCGTTTACAACATGAATAACAAATTTACTGCTGCTTAAAGTTACCTGCAGAAAATAATCAGAAACTGCTTTACCCATCGATGATCATTCAAAAAAAAACTAGGATTAAAAAATACACAAATTAAATCGCGTGTCGCTTAGAACACGTGATTAATAATAGGATTTCATCAGCTACAAACAGAGGTAAAGGGTGTTAGGTGGTCCAGCTTTGTTCTCAATTCGCACTGGCACAACACTTCATTTCACCGAAATTGCGCTGCATACAAAAAAAAAAAAACAAGCACGGCATCTCGAAGAGCTCTACTTAACTACGGTAAATGTTCTAACCGTTTTACGAGAGAGCATTAAATCAAGCGCAAGTTGTACAGAAAACTACAAAAATCTTCAAAACACAATACATGACTGCGTTAACGCTTTTGCTTGGGGTCAAATAAATTTTTTGTTTGGAACAAAATGCAACCAAATCGTCGTAGGGTAGGATATTCCAACCACAATTATGGCCAATGTGTGCAAATTCTCATCTCTACAGGCGTGATACAGAATATGCTCTTGAACTTTGCATACAATTTCTTATGAACACAAAACCAAGCAACTAAATTACCTTGGTAGCTAATTCTACAGAATTGCAGGGACAAGAATCGTCCACGTCAACTTCCGGAAACGACAAAAATTGTTGACGCTTCGCCAAGTTTAGCGGAAGTCATCAGAAGCAAAGTGAAAAAGAGCAGTCAAGTGAGACTACAATGGGACAATAAAAAATTATCGTACATCTACGACTTCATACACAAGACCATCAAGTGCCACCGGACTGAAGGAATTGCAACATCAAAAGGATCTAATAAGGTTAAGATTACACCACCGGGGCACGATAATCCACTGAACAAAGGGAACTCTAAAAAGCTGTGGTTGTCTACGTTCTTATAAAAAGCGGAAATATCTACGACAGCCGAGTTCCCATTCCCTTGCTACGAGCACGATGCCCAACATGGGGTCCCCGAGAGAAGGGTGATCTCTGTCTCTTATACACATCTAGATGTGTATAAGAGACAGCACCTATAAGGAGGCTATCCCTGCTTTTTAAAGAAAGCTCACACCACACTGATTCACTAGCTGATTG